AATCTCATCACCAGGAAGCATTCCTTCGGCCTGACTGAAGTGAAAGGAAACTTGTACAGTATTGGTGGCCACGGCAATTTCAGTCCTGGCTTTAAGGACGTGGCCATTTATAACCCTGAGCAAGACAAATGGCTGAACCTGGAGTCAGCACCGAAGATCCTCCGCGATGTCAAGGCTGTTTCCGTGGAAGACCGGTTTGTTTACGTGGCTGCTCGTACCCCGGTCGACAGCGACAGCGAGGATGGGCTGAGGGCAGTTATTACCAGATACGATGCTGAAACCAGGCAGTGGCAGGACGTGGAGTCTCTGCCCCTCGTTGACAATTACTGCTCTTTCCAGATGTCTGTTGCAAACACCAACTTCTACCACACGGCATCGTGCTGCCCCAAGAGTTACCCTATAGATAATGAAGAAGCCAAGATAAAAATCTCTGCCAGGGCCTCGGATGAAATACTTGAAAGCTTACCCCCAGAGGTTCTCAGCATTGAAGGAGCAGCTATTTGTTATTATAAAGATGATGTTTTTATCATCGGGGGGTGGAAAAACAGCGATGACATTGACAAGCAGTACAGGAAGGAGGCCTATCGCTACTGTGCCGAGAGGAAGCGCTGGATGCTTCTGCCCCCGATGCCTCAGCCTCGCTGCAGAGCAACTGCCTGCCACGTGAGGATTCCCTTCAGGTGCTTGCAGGGAACACAGAGATACCCTATGCCGCAAAATTTGATGTGGCAAAAAGATAGAATAAGGCAAATGCAGGAAAGGCAGATGCAGGAAATACACCGGCACTCCCTGAGCTTACGGAGGATGCCGCGCTCGCAGATCGAGTGCTAGCTGCTGGAGTGTCACTCCTCCTGAGGAATGGAGTAAACACTGTGCTCAACCATCTTGTTAGCCTTGAAGTGTCTTTATAAGACGTGAGGGTGTTGATTGGATTTGATGCATAAAACCAGCATCTTTTATTGTGTTGAAAATCAAGAAGCTCGGAAATTGAGGGTGGGTGGGAATTGAGCAGCTGTGTGAATCCAACAGTATTAATTAATGGTGCCCAGGGAAACACTGTAGCCTGGAACGGGGCTGTGAGGTATCTCCAAAAACATTGTTATTTCTCTCTTTGGATCTTTGTTTTCAAGGATTTCTGTGGAGTTGGTCTCTAACAGTTATATTTTGAAAATCAAAGATCTTAATAATTTAGTGGTTACATTTGTGTGTGCTTGAAAGCACCTGTTTTATTTGCACTTACATACTGACATTCCTTTGGCTCTCTCCTCCTCAGTGACTCAACTTCACATACAGTTGGTGTTAGTGTACTTGGCTTTCCCAAGCTGGAGGCAAGTGCAATAGTTATACCTATAGATGGAAGCAAAAGCACAATCTTTCTTTATAAAATTACTTCAGGATGTTTCTATGTGTATTAAATATTTTGTATTTCTCTGTTGTAGAGAGGCTGCGGAGTTTGTGTATATAAATGGATGATTGGTAGAACACGAGACACTTGTAAAACAGAACTCCAGGAAGTGGGTTGTTTTCAGGTGTACCTGAAGATGCTTTGAGTTTGTCTTTGACAGCTTCATTAGGAGCTCGTGTCAGCAATCAGCCTGATGAAAGGAGTGAAAACCAGCCAAGTAGCCACCCTCCAGCATTGACTGTTCACTTCTGCCAGTGTGGGTTAGTAAGAATGAGATGATTTCACAGTCACAGATTGAAACCTGAGCTCTTTGTAGATCCTTCCTCAAATGTTGCACACGTTTTAGTTCTAGTGAAGAAGCCCCAGGAGCCTGTGTCCAGCCTGTCTGACAATCAGTGCCCTTTGCCTTCGCTGCACTTGCCTGAGAAACTTGCAGGAGCTGTGCTGCAGCGCTCCGTAACGAGCCGGCCCTCCCTGTTCCTCCCCAAGTGAGATAGTTGAGTTTTCATAGTCTCCAAGTATTTGAATTTCCCCACTTACTGTGGCAGTAAGATGTCAGATGATTTCAATACCTTTTGGCATTTTGAGGTGGTTTTACATAAACCTGTGCTCTGGGTGGCTCTGGTTTGCTCACTGCTGTGCTCCCAAGGGACAGGACCTTCAGAGTGTCACTGCCTCTCACTTCACTGTCCTGCTGAGCACTCCTTCTCCCTGATCTGGAGAGCTCCAGGTCGATTTAGGTTACTGGCAGATTCGGTGCATCCTTCCTACCTCCTTTTCTTCCCCATCCTTCCCTTCATTTGAATGTTCCAGGTGTTCCCGTGCAGCCTAACTCAGGATCTTAGGGAAGGGAAGGGGAGGAGTAGCCAGGGTGTTCCAAAATTTGTGTAGACAAACATTGTTGGAGAATCTGTTGACTGTCTTTGGTTCAGATGATGATTTGCTGGTGTCTTTTGATGTGGGCAACTTCTTTGCAAAAGAACTTCTAAACAGTTTGGTGTTTTGTTTTGTTTTTCTATTGTTTATCTTTCTGAGCTGATACTTCTCATTTTCCAATTCAGCAGGCAACCTAGATCATACCTGAAACACTGGGTAAGTCTTTCAACCACATAGTGTGTAAAGGTTTCTCTAATGTTTACATCTCTTAACGCTCCACTTTGCAGTTCACTTGCCACTTTTTATGTCAATAACTTGTCTTTTTGTAGTAGAATAATCTGGGGTTGTTTAAAAAAAAAACAAAACACCTTGAAAATCTTAACAGTTTAGTCTCAATTTACTCATCCATGGTAAGCACGTTGTATTTTGTTTGCCTGTTGGATTGTTATGCGAGGACAGATTAAATTGCATGATGCTGGCCTAATGCAAGAGAGGAAATAGGTGAGTTTGTTCAGGTGTGAGGCTGATCTGCAGCCAAATGAGCTCTTGCAGGCTTGTAAGCAAGGGGTTAATCAGCAGAGTTTGGCCCATGAACTCCTGCAGAGTTGGCTGGAGCAGTTGAAGAATTCCTGCCCCTGCAGCAGGGTTGGGAATAGAAGCTTGAAAATGCCTCACAGCTTCAGGACTAAATCCATGGATTTCACTTCACAATTTCTGGGGGCTGATTTTTAAGATACTTGACCAGACTTTGCCCAGAAGCAGCTTTTACCTGCCCCGTCCCACTGACTGTGCTGTAGGGATTGAAGGACGGTGGCACGTCAGACCACCACAGCTCTGTCAGAGCCCCCGTGTAGTCTTTCAGCAAATCTGGACAATTTTTAGGGAGAAATACCAAGTTTATTATTCCAGTTGGAATATGAACTAAATAGTTTAACGTGTGGCAGCATGCAACAAAGATAGATGCAAGAACAAACTTCTTGCAGTCTTTTTCTAAACAAAACTGATACTGCACTTCCCATGAGAGCTTCTGGCTGATGATTTCAATACCTTTGAGTACAAGCTCTGTAGTTTGCTGAAGACATTCCACTCGGTGTCAGAACAGCGCGAGTTGTGAACGCCAGCCGTGGTTCTGTGTGCCCTGCACGCTGTCTCCCCACGCTCTGTCTGCATGGTGAGTGAGGGGCACTGTGACCATTGGTTTGCTCTAACTTTTGCTATGCCAGTTCTATGGATTTTTTAAGTAGTTGGGTTTTTGTTTGGGTTTTTTTTTTTAGCCTTAAGTGGACCAATTGCATTGCACATGGTTTGCAACTGACAAGTCTGTAACTATCCATTGTGTTGCGTGTCAGTGTTTGGAAGAATCTTGACTCTGGCTGTAATTTAGCCCACTAACCTGTGAATCGCGTCACAAACTCCTCGTGGCCCTTGACTGCTGAAGCTTGCTGGGTGTTTATACTTGATCCTGTAAAACAAGAGCCTGGGAATTCTTGCAGTGTGTGTATCGTGGCTAGTTAAATGTCAGTAAGACCCTCGTGTGTATTCAGTTAAGTATTAGAAGGCTGAGTTCTGGCCTTCCTAATGTCAGAGAACATCACGGGGGGGGATTTTCCTCCTCGTGACAGTCGTACCTCTGCTCCTGTACTGAACACATGCCACAGAACACGTTTCACATCCCATCGTTCTGCTCAGAGTGTTAGTGGAGGAGGACACATCCCGCCTGGTGCTCGGCTGTCACTGTAGTAACTTCTAGGTGCCATGTGTGTACATAGTATTTCATAACTACCCGGATCCTCTGTTACTGTGCTGGGTTTGTAGGTATTTTTAATCAGACATTCTCTTGCACATAGTAGGATTCCACTCCAGAGATGAAGAAAGCATGCCAGCTGTCTCGCATGCATTGTGTATAACCCTGCCGAGCATTCTGCTCTACTGTCTCAATACAGTTTTTCTTCATTACAGTAAATGTTAAATCAGAACTATTGGCTCAGCTTGTGTGTCACAGAAAAGACAAACAGAGTCATAAAGAATTGCATCTTTCTAGGTTATTTTTAACACAACCTTGTAATGATATGTTGTAACATTCCGTGGGCTTAAAAAAGCAAGCTTGAAATAAGTGGGTTATGGCTTAGATTTATCTTCAGCTATGTCAGAGTATAAATCATATCTCTAATTTGACAGTCCTGAGCAGAAGTCTGATAAAGCAGAAGCTCCTGAGGACCTAATCCTGTCACTAATATGAATGTAAAGTGTGGAACTAACGAGATGTTTGAAGACCATTAATAGTCAGATACTCCTCGTAGGTCCACGTCACTGTGGCTGGCGGCAGCTGCGCTCTCCTGTCGGTGTTAATGTAGCCTCAGCAGATGCCTTGGGGAAGCAGCACTCCTGTACTTACTGCCAGTAAGGTAAAGTAGTGTGTGTGTGTGTGCATAGGCTGTTTGAAACAAACCCCACTGCAATGTTCTTTACCTTAAATACACTGTACTAAAGTTTATTGTAATAAGTGAATTAATAAAAATAAACCTTTTATTTCTCTAGCACTCTGTCTTACCTTTTATTCTGTCAGCTGCTGTGCGGGCTGTGGCCGATAACGCATTTTGCGGTGCCGTAGAATTAAATACTAATTATTCTTTTGGCTTGTACGAGTTCTTTTCATTTTAGAGTAAAGTGAGCGCGTTAACTTGCTGCTCAGAAGACTTTATTAGCGAAGTGGAGCTTTTTACACAGGCAGATTACTTGTCGAAGAAGTGAACCTGACTTCATTTGGAGAGTTGTCCGTGGAGCCATCCCGTCTGGCGACGTACTCCCCGACATTGGATAGACCCGGCACCACGCAGCAGCTCAGAGCGCTGCGGTACACGCCCATGTCTTGGATGTCGTACCACTCGTTGGTCTGTTCGTCGTAACACTCAGCGTTGAAAGTCGTGGCAAAGCCGTTAAAGCCGCCAATCACAAACAAAAGGTCATCCACCACCTCGATGCCAAAGTTGCTGCGAGGGTTGAACATGGTGGGGACCGCGCGCCACGTGTTGGCAATGGGGTTGTAAGCTTCCACGCTGCGAAGCCGGTTGACTCCATCAAATCCTCCTACCTGCGAATGCCGAAGGTACAGAGTTGAAATAGACTTTTCCTCACCCTCCAAGTCAGACAAATCATTTTGTGCTCAAGGTGGTGACAGGTCCTGCCTCATTGAGAGTGTGTGATCTCAAAACACAACCTTTGCTTATTGCAGGCTGCTCCCTTGTTCTTTCCTGAGCTTCCAAAAGTTCTTTTCATGCAACTGTCCGTTTTTACACTTCTGCAGAGTTTAAATTCAGTCCATGGGTGGGATGCACAGGACCAAGCAAACCTTCTGGGCTGCTAATGCTGTTGGCAGCAGCAGAAAATGATACCTTTGCTGCAGCTGCTTAAAAATTGTCCACACATTTTTCATAACTAAAAGTGTGCAGGTGATAATATTCTCAGGAGGCGTATTAACCATTCCAGCTCTGACTTTTTCTTCCCTAAATCTCACTTGGAAGCAAATGGCCAGTCTGAAAATCTAAGGAAATGCAACGGTAAGTCCTGCAAGTGCTGGGTGGTGTTGGGGCAGCGCCTCTCCCTTACCGCGTACACCTCATTGTTGTACGCAATCACACCCACTCCGCTTCTTCTGCTTCTCATGGGGGCTATCAGGGTCCACTGGTTGGTTGTGGCATCATAGACTTCAGCTGTGATCAAGCATTCGTTCCCGTTGAACCCACCGCATATGTACACCTGTGTACGGGAGAAAGAAACCGTGAGCAGGGCAGTGAGACCCTTGGTGGGAGAACGTGGAGGAGAAAATGGATGGTAGAGGTGGATTTTTTGTTAGGGTTTTGTTGGTTTGGTTTGGTTTTTTCTTCTCCTGGGTTTGAATTGATAAAAGTGCTGTGAGTTGCTCAGGCCAGCAGGATTTAGACCTTTTATGTCCTGAACTGTGTGAAGTAGATGGGTGTGATATTGGTGGCCAGGAAAAGGTCTGGCACAAGTGAGCTACTGGTGGTGAGCAGCTCTGCGAGAGTTTTACCGCTCCAGTCTGCTTCTTCACCGCGCCAGTCAGTTGCTGCCTCTTGGAGAGCTTCGTATCTGTAGCTCCAGGATTAATGAATATGTGAACTTTCCCCTCTTCATTATAAATGATTCATCACGTTGAAGGGAGCATTTGTTACCTTTCCTGCTCCCACAGCTCCTCTTTTCATCCTAGGTGGTGAACTCGGAGTGGAAGCTGTGTTTGTCCCTGGCTGAGCTCCGTGAACGTCCTCACCTCGGCACGTGCCGTATGAAAGGACAGGCGCTTGCTCACTGTGTTGAAGAAGTGAACCTGACTGATACCTGCTTCCTTGTCCCGTGCACCTTAACTTCAGCCTTAACCTCCTCCTGTAACCTCACGGGCCCTTTACCTTTTCATGCAGCGTGGTTGCGCTGGCGTCGCTTCTCTGCTCGTTCATGGGAGCAATCAGCGTCCACTGGTTCGTCTCGGGCTTGTACTGCTCGGCTGTGTTGAGGCGCATGTACCCATCAAACCCTCCCATGGCGTAGATGAAGTTGTTGAGAACGGCCACGCTGACGTAGCAGCGCCGCGAGTGCATGGGTGCCACCTGCTGCCATGTTTTCTTCAGCGGGTCAAACCTCTTGACGCTGTTGAAGTAATCCATGCTGTCAAATCCTCCGATGACGTAGACAAAGCCTTTTAAATAAGCGGTGCCGTGATAGGCAAGGGGACTTTCTTGGTGAGATGTGACATTCACCCACTTATCTGCGCGGACATCGTATGTCTCGATGGCGTTGGTCGGGCCCCCCGTGCTCCAGCCTCCGATGGCAAACAAGACGGCGTAGGGCAGGCGAGGCCGACTGAGCGGGTTCACAAAGTCCGAGTAAGAGGGGCCGTGCATATTGAGGTTGTACATTTCCCTCAGTGTGTTTATGATGAGACCTTTGCATTCCTCGTTGTCCCTCACGTAATCGTGCACTTTGACGTTGCTCATGAAGTATTCTGTCTGCATCAGTGCCAGTCGAACCTGAGAAACACAAAAATAGTGGTGGTTAGAACATTGGTGTGCGGGTGCTTTACACCTTGGTATCTTTCATAGATAGCTCCGGTGCTGGATGCTGCTGCTTCCATCTACCGTGATGTCTAAAGCTTGTTAGGGAACCAGAGGATTAACCGTGTAGGTTTTAGTTCATCCAGGAAGGGGTGTGCAAGGGTTAATAATCTGATTTCATGGCAGGGAGTCTGCCACTGCTTTGGCACGGGGCTTTGCTGTGCGCAGCCTGGAACTGCCCTCGCGCCTGCTGCTGTTTGCACAGTACAGCTTGTCTGGGCAAATGCTCATAAACTTTGTGTATGTAGAGATAACGTCGTCCCCTGGGAACTTTGGCCCTTCCTGGATGTGAGGAACAGTTAAACTTCAGCTCTCAACATGAGGAAATGGGCACTTCAAAGCTCTGCCCCAGCCCCAGCGCAGCAATAGCCCGACAGTCTGAACTCGCTTCTTAGCGAGCGGCGTTAGGACACTGCCGTTTCCTCCGGTCCTACAAGAAAATCCAAGTGACTCTGGCTCAGCTGCCCCGTGCCCAGCACTGTGGAGCTGCCCAGACCCACACCATGATGGCACCAACCTTGCCCAGCAAGACGGCCATGTGCTGCTTCCTGTTCTGCGGGTCGTGACCGATCCATTTCAGAATAGCCTCGAACACGGTGTCTTCTTGTTTGACGTTGAGCTCGTCCCTCTCAATGATGTGCGTTAGCTCCTTGACAGAGAGGTCTAGAAACTCTGTAGACTCCCTGGTCATCTCCTCAAAGTTGTGGAGGATGAATATAGAGGCTGCTTCTTGCAGGTCAGGACAGTGGTAATGATCTGTGAGTCTGCAGATGCCGATGCAATTTTCCAGGCATAGCTGGGATTTTAAGAACTCGCAGCAGAGCCTGATGATGCCCATGATATTGAACTGATCTGCTGCGACGAGCAGGTTCTCAACATTGTCAACCGTGACCAGAACTGTCCTGGTGTAGGCGTACTCGATAATGAGCCTCATCATTTCAGGTGAAGTGCCAGGGATTTTATACACGACCTTCTCTGCGCTGTTCCAGCTGCTGGTAAACAAAGCCCTGAAAAAAACAAAGCAGTGCTGGGGGAAAAACAGGGAAAACCAGACCCCGTTACCCGCTGTGCCTTCTGCCCCGGGCACCGGTCTGGGCACTGGCAGAACCCACGCTGGGAGGCCGTGTAGTTTATTAAGTAATGTTTTACTAGCTGGTTGTTTTAAAAGGAGTCACAGCCTCCAGCTACTGACAGAGAGCAACAGGGCGAGTGGCCACCTTGATTCAACAAGAATACCAGGGAGTGATGCTGTGTGGGAAGGAGAACCCCCCACCTGATGGCAGAGAACCAGGCTGGCCACGCTCCCAGCCCTGCACCGCGGCTGGGCATGTGTCAGCACTTCCAGAGCTGCTGATGGATCCGAGGTTGTGGATTGATTCTGGTGTCCAGGTAGGTACCAGGACTAAGGGTGACTGCTGGGTGTGTGTTCAGTGCTGGTGCAAGCGCTGGAGGTACACGAAGGCAGCGTGACACGGACGAGGAAATACTGTGTGTCCCCATCCCCTCTTGTTTCAAGCACTGACCTGAAATAGTGGCTGCAGCTACAGAGGATGTTCTTGTGAGCGTTGAATTCAATCTCCTCCACGCTGATGATCACATCACAGAGTTTCCCTTCCAGGCGAAGCTCATTGAAGATGGCACAAGCCATAGCACTCATCTTCCTCTCCATCTGTGGGGATGAAGATGTGACGGGCACCAAGCTGTCACCCATGTAGAAGCCTGAGGCATTAGAAGATGCTTCTCTCTGAAGTGCCACAGGACTTTGCCCTTGCCTTCCAAGGTGTCCTCTCTGACATCCTGTCTGTCTGGTGGGTCTGGAACATGCCCCATAGTGAGATCACAGACAAAGGGTGATTGTGAGTTCATCCACAGGCAATGGGGTCCTGTCTGCCCCCAATCTTCGCTCAACCCCAGCCCAGGTCACAGTGGACCCTGTACCCACACCCTGTTGATGGCTGCGCTGAGCAAAACCCGCCTTGTGCTTCCCCTCCCACTTTTAAATATTCTTTAGCCCAGGTATGAAGCTCCCCACACGTGGGCACCGACTGCTTGTGAAGTGCCCTTGGACCAGCTCACACAGGAGGAAGCTGAGACGCAGGTGAGCCAGAGTCAGTGATGAGCCCACAAATAAATCCTCTGTCACTACTGTTATTTGCTGCCTGTTTGGAGGGGAAGGTGCTGTGTGGGGCCAAGGAGGGGACGGGAGGGGACAGGGAGCCCCGTCCTTACTCCTCACTGGCTTCACTCGCGGCCAAATGCTTTTCCTTTGGGCTTCCCCGTGTCTGTGGGTGACACGGGTGCCAGGGAGCAGCTCTGCGAGGGTCTTGGAGTAGAACCCCAGGCTGGTTTGGGGTGGAAAGGACCTCAAAGCTCATCCAGTTCCAACCCCCGGCTGTGGACAGAGATGCCAACCTCCAGGTCAGGCTGCCCAGGGCCCCATCCAGCCTGGCCCTGGAAACACTTTGGACTTCGTGTTACCGCCCTTGAGGGTTTGTTTCAGTGAAAGGAGTTTGCGGTGGCGCCGGGGGAGGCGCGGAGGCGAAAGCCCGGCCCCCCCCGTGGGCTGGTTTTCTTTTCCCCGACTCTTTCTCTTTCC